AGGGACACAAGCACAGGGTGGTTTCATGGCAGAGCAGTTTTTGGGATGGGAGGTCCTGATTGAGGGGTGCTGACCCCTAGCCCTGCATAGGGCAGTGCCCCAGGGGACCCTCTCCCCCCCATGTGGTGTCCCTGGGGTGTCCCCTCTCTTTGGGGGGGTGCCAGCTGTGGGGTAACCGTGTCCCTCCCCAGGTACGTCCAGAGCCTGCTGGACATCATGGAGTTCCTGGACAGGGACCCCGAGGACCAGGCCACACTGGGACAGTAAGCTGGGGGGTGACAGCATGTCCTTGTCCCCAGTCCCGGGGTGTCCCCTCCTCCCAGACTCCCCCTGGTACCAACTGGTGTCACCCGGGGCTGTATCCCCCCCCAACTGCCCCCACCCCATCCCAGTGCCACCGGATCATGCTCCGGGTTTTCCTGGGTGCCACCAGGGGAATCCCGGCCTGGATCGGGGCCGTGCCCGGACCGGGTGCCCCCCGGGGCCACCCCTGTGCCCTCCCCAGGTTCACGGATGCCCTGGTCACCATCCGCAACCGGCACAACGACGTGGTGCCCACCATGGCCCAGGGGGTCATCGAGTACAAGGAGGCCTATGGGGACGATCCCGTCTCCAACCAGAACATCCAGTACTTCCTCGACCGCTTCTACCTGAGCCGCATCTCCATCCGCATGCTCATCAACCAGCACAGTGAGCAGGGGGCTCCGGGGGTCCCCTGCACCCCTGGGCATCCCTGGCAGCCTTGGGCACCCCTAGGACATCACCTCAGCTCCGGGGGGTCTGTCCTGAGGTTGGAGATGGGATTGTCTTCCTGAGTGTCCCTCTGTCCCAACACCCCCAGCCCCGAGGGTCCCCAGCACCCCTGGGCACCCCTGATAGCACTGGGTGTCCCTACACACTGCCCAGAGTGTCCCCCCAGCCCCAGGGGTCTGTCCCGAGGGTCTCTCTGCCCTTAGGGTGCTCCTGAGTGTCCCCCTGCCCTGGCACCCCCTGCCCCAAGGGTCCCCATCAGCTCTGAACATCCCTGCTGACCCTGGCATTCCCCTGTGCCCCCCAGAGCATCCCCCCAAACCCCAGGGATCTGCCCCAAGGGTCACCTTCAGCCCCAGGGATCAGCCCCTGCCCTGAGGGTCCCCTAAGCATCTTCCCTTTGAGTATCCCCCACCCTGAGGGTCCCCTCCAGCTCCAGGGCTCCTGCCCCTGCCCCAAATGCCCCCCCCAAACCCCAGGGATCTGCTTTGAGTATCCCCCCCACCCTCAAGGATTGTGCTCTGGATGTCCCCTCATCTTCAAATGTGCCCCCCAGCCCCAGGGGTCCTGCTCCACATGTCCTCCCCCAGTATTCCTGCCCCAGGGTTTCCCCCCTAACCCCAGAGACCTGCCCTGAGCATTCTTTTGTCCCAAATGTCACCCCCAACCCCAGGGATCCTGCCACAAGGGTCCCCCCACCCCAAATGTCCCCTCCAGCCCCAGGCATCCTGACTCAATGATCCCTCCACCCCCAGGACTCCTGCCCCAAATTTCCCCTTCCCCTAATGTCACCCCCAGCCCCAGGGCCCTGAGCCCCCTGGGGGTGTCCCTGGGTGTCTCTGGGGTCAGGGTGGGGTCCCCACAGCTTGTTGTCCCCCCCCCAGCTCTGCTCTTCGACGGCAGCACCAACCCTGCACACCCCAAACACATCGGGAGCATCGACCCCCACTGCAACGTGGCCAACGTGGTGAGAGGTTGGTGGGGTCCAGGGGGCTCCCACCCCCACGGGGGGTGAATTTGGTGGGGGAGGGGGTCACTGAATGTCCCCCTGATCCTCCCCTTACCCTGTTTGGGAGCCATTTGCGTCACAAGTTTGGGTTGCCCTCAGCAAAAGCGTCCCCCGTGCTTTGGGGTCGTGCCAGGAGACCACAAAAACTTGCTGAATCTGTAGGACTGGAAAATCTTTGGGGGTAGGGGGCAAAGGGGGGGGACCCTAAATGCTCCCTCTGCTCCGTTTTGGGGGGTGCTGACCCCTCTGCTCCCCCCCAGATGCCTACAACATGGCCAAGCTCCTGTGTGACAAGTACTACATGGCCTCGCCCGACCTGGAGATCGAGGAGGTGAATGGTGAGGCCCATCTGGGGGGATTCTGGGCTGTCTCCTTTAGGGTTGGGGGTCCCCATGGTTTTGGGGGATTTTGGGGTGGCTCCAGGGTTGGGGGAGCACAACAACACCAATGGCTGCTCCTCCTCCCCACAGCCACCAACTCCCAGCAGCCCGTGAGCATCGTCTACGTGCCCTCCCACCTCTACCACATGCTCTTCGAGCTCTTCAAGGTAACCCCAGCCCTGCTGGGGGGATCCGGGGGGGGTTTTTGGGGGTCCCCCCTTACCCAGTGACGCCTCTGTGCCCCCAGAATGCCATGAGAGCCACCGTGGAGAGCCACGAGAGCAGCCCCCGCCTGCCTGCCATCAAGGTCATGGTGGCCCTGGGCCAGGAGGACCTTTCCATCAGGGTGAGGGACCACCAGCTCCGCCCCGAGGGGGTACAGTTTGGGGTGGGGGGCCAGGAGCAGTGTTGTCACCCCTGGTGGTGTCTCACAGATGAGTGACAGGGGCATGGGGGTCCCCCTGAGGAAGATCGAGCGTCTCTTCAGCTACATGTACTCCACGGCCCCCACCCCCCAGATGGGCACTGGGGGGACCCCCCTGGTAGGTGACCCCCCCTGGTGTGGGCTGTGGGGGTCCCACAGGGTCCTGGGGAGAGGAGGGTGGGTCTGCAGGTGGGGGTGGTTGGGGGTATTTCGGAGGTGTCTCATGTGGGTGGGGATATTTCAGGGTGGATGGAGTGGCTTGGGGAGGTTTGGGGGTGGCAGGGGCTGTTTTGGGGGTGGTTTGGGGGGACCAGAGTGGCATGGGGGTGCTTTGGGAGTGGCATGGGGTGGTCTGGGGGAACTGGGATGGCATGGTGGTATTTTGGGGGTGGTAAGGAGAGGTTTTATGGGCCATTGGGGGTGGCATGGAGTACTCTGGGGGTCCTTTGGGGGTCTCCTGGGGTGGTTTGGGGTGGCTGGAGTGGCATGGGGGTGTTTTGGGCGTGGTATGAGGAGGTTTCGGGGTCCATTGGGGGTGGCATAGGGTGGTTTGGGGGGGATGGAGTGGTATGGGAGTGTTTTGGGGATGGCACAGGGAGGTTTGGGAGAGGATAGAGCAGCATGGGGAGTTTTGGGGGTGGCATGGGGAGATTTTGGGTTGCCAGGGGACATTTTGGGTTGCTGGGGGACATTTGGACGTGGCACAGTGACCGCTGGCAGGGGCACGGACACTTTGGGCTGCACATGGTGCTGCTTGTGGTGATGTGGGGAGGCTTGGGGTGCCCCGGGGGTGCCACCCCAGCACTGGAGACCCCCCCACCCCCTTCCCCACCCCAGGCCGGGTTTGGCTACGGGCTGCCCATCTCCCGCCTCTACGCCAAGTACTTCCAGGGGGACCTGCAGCTCTTTTCCATGGAGGGCTTTGGCACTGATGCTGTCATCTACCTAAAGGTGGGTCTTTCTCCCTCCGAACGGGGGTTCGGGGCTCGGGGCGGGGGCACAGGACCCTGCCCAGCCCCCTGTGTGCCCCCAGGCCCTGTCCACGGACTCAGTGGAGCGGCTGCCCGTGTACAACAAGTCGGCGTGGCGGCACTACCAGGCCAGCCAGGAGGCCGGGGACTGGTGCGTGCCCAGCACCGAGCCCAAGAACACCTCCACCTACCGCGTGCCCTAAGGCCCCCGGGGCTCACAGCCCCCCCAGGCTGCAGGGAACCCCTTGCCCAGCTCACAGGGCCCTCCCTGGGGTGGCCCCCAGTGCCCCGGGGGGTTGTTGGAGCAATCCGGTTCTGTGGCTCTTCGGGCTCCAGTGGAAGGGGGTCCTGGTGGGGTGTGGGGGTCCCAGTGGGGTGTGGGGGGGTCCCAGCACCCCCCACCTTGGTGGCACTTAGGTACGTAGCTGGGGGGGGCGTTGGAGCAGCGTGGAGGGGGTAAAGCCCCTGTTGCCCCCCCTCCCACCCCTTCCCTTCACACCCAGCCCAGGGCGTGCACCCCAGCCCAGCAGGGGACTGGTCTCCTTTCCCAGTATGACCAGTAGCACTTCCCTGCCCCTCCAGCCCTGACAGGGTGGGGGGCCCAGGCCTGACCCACCCTCCCCCCCATTTCCCTATTCCCATCTCCCATCCCTGTTATTGCACTACTGAGCTGTTCTCACCTGCGTGTGCCCCCCACCCCTGCACCCCTTGCACTCCCCCGGGGTGGGTTCCCCACCCCACACATGCTGTGACCTGCTCAGAAACCTCCCCCTCCTCCCCCAAATTGTCCTCTTTCCCCCTCCACCCCCCAGACCATCCCTCCCCACTGTCAGTAAATTGGATGTTGGTTGAGCTCCTGGTGTGGTGTTTTGGGGTCCTGGAAATGCCCCCCCTTTTGCACCCCCCAAATGGGTCACTGACCCCCCCGTGCCTCAGTTTACTCACTCCCAGGCTTGGGAGGGGGCTGGGCACAGTCACAGGGTGGCACTTGGGGACACAATGGGGACCAGCCATGGTCCGTGCCCCCCCCAGCCTGGCACCGAGCTCCCCCCACCCCATCTTGCCCCCCCAACCCCACCCCAGTCAGCCTCACACTGGTCTCACTGGTTTGCACTGGCCCTTGATACCCTTTTATTTCCTGGCGTGGCCTCTAGGGCGCCGTATTTGGGGCTGGGGGGGTGTGGGGAGGTCAGCAATCAAACCCCACACCCCAACTGGGGAGTGTCCCCGTGTGGGGGGGGGTCAGGCCACACGCTGTCCCCAGCCAATGCTGGCCGTGACCCCCCTGCCCCCTTGGGGTGCTGCTGACGGGGTGGGAGGTGATGGGGCAGGGTGGGGGTGTCCAATGTGCCACTTGCATCTGGAAAAGGGGCCCCTGGAGGGGGGGCCCGGCTGTGCCCGTGGGGTGCAGGGGTGCAGGTGGGGAGGGGGCTGGAGGAGGGGGGCACGTGGTGCTCTGTGCTCATCTCAGCCTGGCACCGTCCCTCAGCCACGCCAGTGTGTCCCACGCACGGGGGTCCCCCGGGGCGTCCCGGGGGGGCTGTGGTTGGGGAGGGGGTGCAGGGGCACTCCCAGGCCCTCCCTTAACTCCGCCGCTGCTCCTGGAGGTCCTTCTTCTTCTGCTTCTCCCGCTGCTTCTCCGCCTTCTCCTGGGCCTTGCGCTCCCTCTCGGCCGCCAGGCTCAGCTCCTTCAGCTTCCTCTTCAGCACCGCCCTGTCCTGGGAGCTGCCCACCCCCAGTGCCTGTGGGCACAGCGGGGTCTGGCAGGGGGGCCACGCTGCCCCTCAAGCCCTCTGGGGTACGTGGACCCCCCTCAGATCCTCGGTACCCACACCCCCGGTGCAGCAGCGCCTTGGGGGCCCCAGAACATCCCATCCACCTCCTGGACTCGTCCCTTGGGATGCCTGGAACTTCCTGCCCTGTGGAGCCACCAGTTTGGGCAAGGGGGTTTAGGTACCCCTTGATGAGCCCTTTGGGGTACCCAGAACCATCCCAGGCCTTCCTGCCCTGTATCTTAATGGGGTAACTAGAACCTGCCTGGACCTTCTGCTCCATGGAACACTCCACTGGGGTACCCAGAACCCTCTAAGACCCCCTACTCCATGAGGCACCTTGTTGGGGTACTTAGAACCCTCTGAGATCTCCTGCTCTGTCGGGGTACCCAGAACCTCTTGCCCCACCCCAGAGCCCGTTGCAGCACCCGGACCCCCCCCCCCCGTCCCCCCCCATCAGAGCCCCCCAACCCCGTACCTTGAGCTTGGCCCCGTCGAGGTGCAGGAGCCGGGGCCCGTCCACGCCGTGGGCAGAGAAGTCCTGCACGTACTGCTCCAGGCTCAGGCTCTCCAGCCACTGCCCCACCTGCTGGCACGTCCAGCCCGCGGCCGCGCCGGGGGGCTCCTCCAGGAACTGGCACAGGGCGTTAATGGGGAGTCCCCGTGGGATATGGGGGGGGGAACACCCCAACCTCGCCCCCTCGCCGCGTCTCACCTCGTCCGAGGACTGGGACAGGGTGTGGTAGGGGTACGAGCACTTGGCGCGGGGGGGTCCGGGCAGGCGGGGGCTGGCGCTGGGTGGGGGGGAGTCCTCGCTCAGCGTCGAGTCCTGGGGCAGCGTGAGGGGGGTGAGGGCAGGGCTGCCCCCCCGGACCCCTCTACAGCACCCTCCCACACCCATAGGGCTTCCAACCCCCCCTGGGCTTTCATCCCACAACCCCCCCATATCTATCTTGACCTTGTGGGGCTTTGAACCTCCACTCCAATACCTGTCTTGACTCTATAGGGCTTTGCATGCCCCCACCCCAGCTATCTTGACCTTGTGGGGCTTTGGACCCCCACCCCAATACCTGTCTTGACTCTAGGGTCTTGACACCCCCCTCTCCCAAGCCATTTTGACCCTATAGGGCTTTGGACCTGTCATGACTTTATAGGGCTTTGACACACACACCCCCCAGCTACCTTGATCCTATAGGGCTTTGCCCCCACCCCCAGTACCTGCTTTGACCCTCTAGGGCTTTGACACAGCCCCCCATATCCATCTTGATCCTATGAGGCTTTGGACCTGCCGCCCCCAATACTTGTCTTGACTCTTTAGGGCTCTGACACCCCCCAAAGCCACCCTGACCCTATGGGGCTTTGTCGTCTGTCCCTACAGCTGGTGTCACCTCCTCTCCTGTAGCCACCGAATGCATGGGAGCATCCCTATAGGGCCCCCACCCCCTCCCTTATCCCCACAGTGCCAGGGCCCCCTCCCCTGGCCGGGCACTGACCTGGGAGGCGGATTTGGCGGGGCTGAGCCCCTCGTGCCGGGGGGAGCCGCAGGGGGACGCGGAGCCGGGGGAGCCCGAGCCCCTGGCGCTGTCCGAGAACCACGAGAAGGGCAGGAAGGGGGAGCCCGAGGGGCGGCCGGGACCCTCCGCCGCCTCCCTGGGCACAGAGCCGTGTCAGGGGGTGGGGGCCGTGCCCAGGCAGCCCCCCCTGCCCCTGCTGAGGGGGTCCCTCACCTGCTGCCCGTGGACAGGCGGTTGCTGCTCTTCTCTTTGCGGCTCTTGCCGGAGGACGCCCGGCGCAGGGTCACCCTGGGGGAGAGGGGGGAAGTCCTGAGGGCTGTGCTCCCCCCATGGGCCGCAGGACCCATCCTTCCACCCACCCACCCATCCATCCATCCATCCACCCACCCACCCATCCATCCATCTTTCCACCCATCCATCCATCCTCAGAGACCCCTCCATTTCCTCCAGAGGATACTCCACTCGTGCATCCCTCCTCTGTGCATCCTGCCATCTTTTCCTCCCTTCAGGCATCTCTCCAGCTGTGTCTCCATCTTTCTTTCCATTGCACCTCTTGATCTCTGCATCCATCTTCCCTCCATCCCTGCATCCCTCCATCCCCCATCCTTCCCCCCATCCCTCCCTGTATCCACCCTCCATCCCTACCTGCATTCCTCCCTGCACCCCTCTGTCCCCCTCCATCCCCTCTGCATCCTTGCGTCCCCCTCCATTCCCTCTCTATCCCTCCCTATCCCATCCTGCATCTCTTCCTCCATCTCTCCATCCTGTCCTGCATCCCTCTGTCCACCTCCATCCCCTTTCCATCCCTCTGTCCACCTCCATCCCCTTTCCATACCTCCCTATCCCTACCTGCATCCCCTTTCCATCCCTCCCTATCTCTTCCTGCACCCCTTCCTCCATCTCCTCTCCATCCCCTCCTTCATCCTTTCGTGGCCCACTCCATCCCCCCAGTCCCCCTCCACCCCTCCTCTCTGTACCCCCCCGCTCCCCCCAGGGCCGGGTCTCACCCCAAATCCAAGAACTTCCTCCGTGTTTTCTTGTCCAGCCCCACGGTGGGACTGGCGGGCTCGGGGGGGGCTCATGTCCCTGCTGTCATCTGCAGGAGAAGAACCGGGGTGTCCCCCACCGCCCCCACAGTGCCGAGAGATGTCCCAGGGGTCCCTGTGCGCCCCGGGAGGGCCGGGGGGGGTCTCACCTTCGCTGTGCTGCCGGGGCCGGGCATCGCGGCGGGCGAAGCCAGGGGAGCTGTCGGAGCTGGGGCAGGATTTGGGCACAGCGGGGCCTGACAGCCCCTCCTGGGACGAGGTGTTGGTGAGGGGCCGGTAGCGGCTGAGAGGGGTCGTGGGGGCCGGGGGTTCCCCCAGCGCCGCCCGCCCCGCCCCCCCGTCGAAGGAGAAGTCGCCGGCACGGGAGAAGGGCGAGGGGGTCGGGGGACTGCCATCGCCCTCGGTGCCCTGGGGTCACACGGCAAGGAGAGGGGGGGGCTCAGACCTCTGCACTCCCCCGGGTTTGTCCCCTAGACCCCTATCCCTGCCCTAACCCCAGCCATGGCGTCCCCCTCTAATCCCTGGGGTAGATGATGCCCCCAGCCCTGCAGCCCAGCCATTCCCCTCTAGTCCCGGGGGTCTGCGGTGCCCCAAGCCATGGATTCCCCCCTCTAATCCCTGGGGTCCACAGAGCCCCCCATCCCTTCAGGGCCCCCAGCCCTGACGTCCCCCAACCCCCTCCCCGGTGTCCGCGGTGCCCCCCCGGCCCTGCCGCCCCCCGGTCTCACCGCGGTGTCCCCCTCGTCGCCCTCGGTGGAGCTGGCGCTGTCGCGCAGGCGGGAGCGGGAGGGCCGGTGGCGGCGGCCCTTGGCCAGCAGGCGGGCCCGGGCTTTGTGCAGGCTGCTGTCCAGGCGCGGCGTCTCTGGAACCACAGCGGTAAAATCTGGGGGTGAAAGAGAGACCGGGGCAGAGAGAGAGAGAGAGACGGACAGACGGACACGGGGTGAGGTGCGGTGGGGTGGGATGGGATGGCCGAGGAGAGAGAAGGACGATGGGGATAGATGGAGCGATGGACAAGTAGGGAGAAGGGATGGACGGATGGATGGATGGATGGAGAAGGAAGATGGGGAGGGATGGAGGGGGGAATAGAGGAACAGGTAGGGAGAAGGAAGATGGATGGATGGACGGACGGATGGATAAGGAAAAGGAAATGGTGGACAGGTGGAAGGGTGGGGCCAAGCAGATGGGGAGAAAAGGAGGGAGTGATGGATTGATGGGAGATGGAGGGATGGATGGCCAAGAAGGGGCAGGGAGAAGGGGACGGGGGGAGCATTGGAGGGAGGTGGACAGAAGGTCAGGAGAAGGCCAGCCCAGTGGAGAGGGGCCAGAGGGACATTGGGGACAGGGCAGGAGGGGGGGGCCAGGGAGATTGGAGGGGGTACAGGGAGAGGGGAGTATTGGGGACATGGATGGGGCACCCCAGTGGGGCAGGACAGGGAACAGGGGGACAGAGAGAAGTGTTCAAAGAGATGCCCCGGCACGGGGAGAGAAGCAGTGGGGTGACCCCGAGGACAGAATGTCCCTGTCACCCAGGGGGGCCACGCTTTGTCCATGGTCCAACTGGGATCCCACTCATGTCCCTGCCCTGATGTGACCCCTGTATCCCAACCCAGCCCAAGGGGTGGCTCTGGGCCATGACCCCATGTCCCTGCCACCCTGTGCACCTCCCTGTGCCTCTCCCTATGTCCCCACATTCCTGTCACCCTGTGCACACCCCTATGCCCACACCTGTGTGTCCTGGATGTGTCCCCATGTCCCTGACACTCTCTGCATGCCCCTGTCCCCTGTATGTGTCCCCGTGTCCCCCTGCCCATACACATCCCTGTGTCCCCAGGTACATGTTGTCCCCAAGCCCAGTTTGTCCCCTCCTAAGACAGGAGGACACTGAGGGTGGGTGGGGACCCACAGGCAGCTCTGCACCCCCCAGGGTGCTCTGCACCCCATTTGGGCGTCTGCACCCCATGTGCCCACTGGGACTCACCAAAAACCTCGTCCGTGTCCTGCAGCTTGGAGACCGACATGGTGGGACAAAGCTGGGGACAGAGGGGACAGTCAGGAGAGGGACCAGACCCTCTCCCAGTGATGCCAGTGACCCCCCCCTGCCCTCCCAGTGATCCCCGTGTCCCGGGGTTCGGGGGGTCTCGAGGTGGGGGCGGGGACTCCTAATGCCTTGGCAGCATCGGGGGGGGGGCAGGCGGGGTAAGGGGCGGCAGATCCGTTCCTGGCTCCCCCGCAGCCCCTCCCTCCCCCCGGGGAACGGGTCCAGCCTCGGTGCGGGCTGAGGGGAGGCGGTACCGGGAGGGGACAGGACCGGGGATGATGTAGCGGTGTTTGGAGCTGTACCGGGCTGGGGCTGTACCGGGGCTGTACCGGGGGATGGTGCTGTACCCGGGGTCGCCGAACCGCGAGCTGGGGGGCTGTACCGGGATGGGGCTGTACTGGGATGGGGCTGTACCGGGATGGGGCTGTACTGGGATGGGGCTGTAC